AGTGCAATGACGTTCAGTGTCCACGGAATGTCTGTTGGTTATCTGACACGTTCTGCTAATTAACGCTACTTGAATTACAAACATTGAGAAAAGATTGCCGTCCCCTCCAAAGTGGAGAGAGACCAAATGAGGTCAAGCTGCCACCAAGCGGCCGGGTGGCCTCAGGAGGGAGCTGACCAGGACCTCGGCCTGGCCACGGGTGTGCTGAGTGGGTACAATAGCCACAGGGACCCTGGTAAGAGACCTCATGATGCTCGTAGTCAGCTACTGCTTTGTCACCAGACACACACACAGAGCCAGCACCTAAAATAATAGCCTTATTCTCCATCACAGTTTGCTTAGGGAAGTTTGGAAGTGTTTCTGCTGGACGGTTTGGCTCACACACTCAGGTCCCTGCAGATCGAGGGTGACTAGAGCTGGAGCAAGCGGGGGACCAGCAGTCTCACAGTTTCAGGAAGAGGGGAAATAGGCCTGTGTGTGGACGGTTTGGCTCACACACTCAGGTCCCTGCAGATCAAGGGCAACTAGAGCTGGAGCAAGCGGGGGGGCCAGCAGTCTCACAGTTTCAGGAAGAGTGAAAATAGGCCAGTGTTGCTCAGTGGGTGAGCTTCAACCCATGAACCAGGAGGTCAGGGTTCGATTCCCAGTCAGGGCACAGGCCTGGGTGTGGGCTCGATCCCCAGGAGGCAGCTGGTCAATGATTCTCTCTCATCATTGATGTTTCTGTCTCTCTCTTCCTCTCTCTAATCAATAAAAATATATTTTTTAAATAACAGTGAAAATAGACTCTCCTCCCCCTTCTCAATGACTGAAAAACTGATGCAGGAGAGGAAAAGTGAAAGGTATGAATCTGAAGTATTAGACGTTGGTTTTATATCTCTATCTATCTGTCTATACATACATATATAAAAATACAAGTTGTATGTATTATATACATAATGTTTACTAATCTATAAAAATATGAATGCACTAATAAATAGTTTAATAGGAATAAATTTTATTAGTATTCATCTTACATCTATCTCTCTTCCCCAAAAAGCATAGAAAAACAAACATTTTTAAATAACATACCATGCCATATTTTTTAATAACATTCATTGTCTATTCAACTATTCCCAATTCCTTAGTAGAGATCTGCAGCTCCATAACACGAGTTAGTTGTACATGACTTATTTTTTCTGAGTGTGAACAGATAGGACATATTTTATTGTAACTTCTTAAGTCTGGCTTACATTTAAATGTATTTTTAAATTACCTGACTAAGGGAAATTGCTCATCAGAAGCAATGCTTTTTATTGCATTCTTTCTAATAGCTCACAGTGACCATGTTAAAATGTGCTTCCACTCCTTTTTATTTTTAGAGGGATAGAGAGTTAGAAACATCAATGAGAGAGAAGCATCAATCAGTTGCCCCCTGCACGCCCCCCACTGGAGATGTGCCCGCAACCAGGGTACATGCCCTTGACCGGAATCGAACCCAGGACCCTTGAGTCCGCGGGCTGACGCTCTATCCACTGAGCCAAACTGGTTCGGCTGCATTCTTTCTAGTAGCTCACAGTGACCATGTTAAAATGTGCTTCTACTCCTTTTTATTTTTGTTTATTTTCTCTTTAAGAACCACAAGGGTGTTATTCGTGTATTTGCATTTCTTTTCTGATACAAAACTCAGATCTGCGTCAGGAGTGTTGATGTGACCCTATAGTCCATCTGGCCACTGGAATGTACTCTGAACCTGGCGTGCGGTTCTAACCCTCTTCTCAGGCTGATGTTCGAAATAGTAATAAGTTACATGTAAAAGTCAAAACAAAAAATGGAAACATAGGGCTGAGGAAACAGAAGGAACTAGAACAAAGGAGAGTTTTAAGCTCAGAGACCAAGGTTTTGAGCGAGATGCTAACATGGTGGCCCAGGCACAGCTGCAGAGCTTGAACAGCGGCCGAATGGAACCACCCAGGGAGAGAGACCCCATGAGCAAGGCGTCGCCCCTCAGCGCACAGATAAAAGGCAGGAGGGCGAGCCCAGAGGCCGGGAGAATGGAGGCTGCGGTGCGCTCCCAGGACTGCAATGGGCAGCCCGTGCTGCGAGCCAGCGATGCTCCTGCTACAGACACACCCCGGGCCTCGCGGCTCTGGAACGCCACCTGCCACCCCAACCTCCTGCCCGAATCCTGCTTCCTCAGGTCCCCCGTGGGCGCTGATCCCCGGCTGGACGTCAACCCACAGGCCAAACCCAACATGTCCAATCTCTGCCCTCCACTGTGCCCCCAACATGCATGCAATCCCATTGTTCTCACAGGGTCTGGCCAGAAGCCTTGATGTCATCCCTAATATCTCTCTCTCTCTCTCTCTCTCTCTCTCTCTCATATAAATACATTTTTATTGATTTCAGAGAGGAAGGGAGAGAGAGAGATAGAAACATCAATGATGAGAGAGAATCATGGATTGGCTGCCTCCTGCACGCCCCACACTGGGGATGGAGCCCGCAACCTGGGCCTGTGCCCTGACCGGGAATCGAATCCTGACCTCACGGTTCATAGGTCAACGCTCAATCACTGAACCACACCGGCGGCGCCTTTATTTCTCTCTTACACGCCTTATATCACATTACTCAGGAAATCCACTGACTCAAACCAAACATGTACCCAGAATCCTATCATGTCTCGCCTACCAAGAGGCACCTTCCTCAGCTACCACACCTCCCCCCTGAGACACAGAAACAGCAGCCTGGCCGGTCTATGCAGAAATCGGAGGCCCGAGAGCTGGGACAGAGGGGACACTACACCGTGCAGGCACCCCACCACCAGAGCCAGGGACAGACAGAGAGCCCCTGTGGGTTTCAGAGACCCGGCCTGCGGGCCAGATCTCACACAACCGGCCTTCAGAATGACAGGACAAAGGATGATGCTGGTTTAGGCGGCTTGCTCTGAGCTACTGCGTTAGGCAGTGCTGGAACCAATACCATGTTTGTGGAAACTTTCTATATTCTTTTTAAATGTATTTTATGTTATTGTTGACACTATTACAGATGTCTCTCATTTTCTCCCTTTTGGGCCCCCACCACCTAACCTACCCCCTCCCCCCAGGCCTTCACCACCGGGCATCTAGGGCAGGTGTGTCGTAGAAAGGGAGTGGCAGGAGGATGACACCCCCCAGAGTTGTCTACATCCTCATTGCCAAGACCTGTGACTGTTCTGTCCCATCGCACTGGACAGTCAAGGCTGCTGATGGCATGGAGGCTGCCAATCACCTGACCTCGGAACCAGGACATCTCCTGGGCCCTGGCGACGGGCCCAGCGTCATCCAAAGACTCTTCATGGCAGGAGAGGGAAGCAGAGGTCGGAGGCGGAGGGCGGTCTGAGGGTGCGACGTGCTGGATCTGAGGTGGGAGCAAAGGGAAGCTTCTAGAAGCCAGAAGGAACAAGGACGTAGACTGTGCCCTACAGCCTCCAGAAGGAGGCAGACTTGCTGGCACCTTGATTTCAGAGTCACAGAGGCTGCTACGTGCTGTGTGTTCAGTCTTCCTGGGAGGAATCAGGAATCTAATGCGGGTAGAGAAACGGCAGCAAAGGCGAACTTGATAAGAGATGGACTGTTGGGAATAAAGGTTTGTTCTGAGGCTGTGGAAATCAGACCAAAAACAGAGATAAGCCGATGGCCTGGGGAGTGCTGTAGAGATGGGTGAGAGAGGACCAATAATTTCAGTGATGAAATCAGTAGGAGTGAGATCACATGACTGTGGGGAGGAGGGGAGGGAAAGTACCCAGGAGCACTTTGCAGCTGTGAAGGGTGGATACTGGTATCCCCACGGAGACGGAGACGGGAAATGCAGGAAGAATGGGCCCTTTGTGTTGTCTGTTGAGGTGGAGAGTGTGGGTTGAGATTTGAGGACACCGAGTTTCAGAGGGTTGTGGCCCATCCATGTGGGGAGCGAGGGTGGACTCTATCCCCAGGTTAGACTTCCAACTTAGGCGTCCTAAGCGTGTGAGCAGCATCACAACAAAGCAGGAAACTGCCTCTGGGGGCTCCACACAATAGTGACTACGATTCGTCTTTAATCTTTGAATAGAAAAGGGTGATTATCCGCAAGGCTGTGACCAAGATTCAATGTGGTACTTAGCCCAGTGTCTGGAGTTAGTATATTCTCAAGAAATGGTAGGTATCATTACTAAATGGCCCAGGAATCACAGGGAACAGCAAGGCTAAGGAATCCAAAAGGCTAAATCCAAATTCCTGAATCAGGTACAGCCGCTACCCTCGATGTCTTTACGGCCTACATAGCTCCTAGGAGAAAAGGGTCAGATTTCAGTCCCTGCTGAGTTCCCGGTGCCCAACTCGATGACTGGCCAAGGGAGTTAGGCCTTGTATAAGTTCTGGCCAAATGGCTTAGAGGAGAAAGAAAGGAGGCCGAGAGGGGGGAGTAGAAGAGAGAAGGGAGCTAGAAGGAAAAGAGGGAAACTACTGGGAGGAGGGGAGGAGGAAGGCAACATTCCCACAAGGGAGCCAGTGTACGTTATGAAGATCTGCATGGGGAGGGGCTGGGGGAGCCTGGGGTGGGGTGTGCTCATAGTCTGTGGGGGCACAGGGGGAAGCCAGGCCTCTAGCCTTGGAACAGGAAGTACTATCACTCCTGGGGTGTTTTGTTTTGTTTTGTTTTCTGGACTCATAGCTCTTTGGAGGCCAGAAGAAACTAGCCAGCGATGCACCAGCAAAGCTGTATATGTCGTGATTCGGGGTTTGGTTGGACTGTTGGTTTGGTGTTGGTTCCAGAGAGAAAGGATATTTCGACTGTGGGACCCTTAGACCAGGCTCTGGAACTGACCGATTTCCCCAACTCTGGGAGCTCAGGCCTCAAGCTAGAGGGGGCCAACCCCTGAGGGTTCTGCCCGTCAGGGTCCCCACATTCTGACTTGGAACTCTGCCACAGTGAGGTCTTGGAGACGGGGTCCTGCCACTCCTGGTCCCATTGGGACACGGGACGGGAAGGCGAAGGGTCGGGCGACGATGGAGCTGTACTTCAGCTCCTGCTCCAAGGCGGCCAGGGCTACCTCCACCAAGACGGCTGCCAGCAGCCTGTCTGACGAGGTGAGGGCAGGGCCAGGGTCCTGGTCTTTGGTGGACAGGGCAGGGAGAACCCCCCACAGGCCCCACGTGGTAACCGGGCACTTGGGGCGCCCTGGGGGGCTCAGCGTCAGCTGCCACTGGCTGGTGGGGGACCCCAGGTCCTCCGTGCTGTCTGCAGGGGGGGCCCTTCAACCCTGGCTGTGTGGCTCTTCATTTCCTTTGTTTACAGCCGGGGTAGGCAGGCCTCACCCAAGGAAATACAGCCCAACAATACAGTGTTGTTCACTCAGAATGTGTTAAACAACCAGCTCTCTCACTGTGTTCTTACTGCAAAACGAAAAATAAAAAGAAACCCAAAAAAGTCTGGGAGACGTTAGCTATGCATCGTCCCCTTGATTGTGGTGATGGATCAGGGGTGCTTGCCTATGGCCAATCCCATCATAGGGATTATACACATTACACGTGCGTGCAGGTCTTAAATGCCTACTGCACCTCAAGAAAGCGGGTGGACGGTAAGAGACACCGTCCTAACCTGATGAAGTGAATCTAAGAACATCCACAGCCTGGATCTTCCTCGTGAAGGAAGCCTGGCTCTTTGCCGTGTAATCAGGAAAAGGGTAGTGACTCCCACTCCCAGCTCTCCTCCCGGGCGTCGGCCCAGCCTCTGCAGGAAGCCAAAATCTAACAGAGAGACAGGAAAGCAAGGAGGAAACCTTTTACAGAGAGTACAGTTGTTTCAACAAAAACTTCCATGGAATCTAAAAGAAATTATTAAAATTTGTAAATGAGTATGGCAAAGTTCAAGAATAAAAGGTTAAAATAGCAAAATCAGATTGGTCCTATTTTTAACAACTGGTGTTTAATTGCCATTATCATACACAAAATGTAAA